TCTCTGTCTCTCTCGTTCAGGGTCTCACGTAGCCCAGGCTTATGTAGAATTCACTCTGTGGCCCAGACTGGCCCCACACTCATAGAGGCCTTCCTGGTGCCTCAGCCTCTCAAGTGCTGGAGTCAGAGGCTCCAGCTACCTGACCCCCTCTCTAGCCATTCCCCAAATTAGGTCGAATGCCATTTTCCCAGCAAAGCTGAGAATATGAAATGGAGTTGCTCTGCCCATTCTGTGTGCTTCTGCCACACATTATCTGCATCTGTTTTGACATTTATCTCAGATTGCTCCGAACTGTATACGGTAGGGAGGTCAGCAGAGGTAGGTTTACATTGCTGGGTTAGATCTTTCAAAGTGGGGTTTTCTTAAAATGCACTCAGGATATGATGAGGTAGATCCTGCTTCCTTTCACACAATTATGTTCTTGTTGGAACTAAAACTAATTTCTTGTTTCAAAGGGACATAAAAAATGTCCTGCAGAGCTAAAAGGACTCAGCAATCCTTTCCAATACTTCTATATTTTAATAAAGAACTGGTTTTTAAAACCTTTAATCAAACTGGGCAGTGGTGGCGCATATCTTTAATCCCAGTAGAGGCAAAGGCAGACTAATCCTGGTCTGTGAGTTCCAGGTCAGCTTGGCCTACAAAGTGAGTTCCAGGACAGCCAGGGCTGTTACACAGAGAAATTCTGTCTTAAAAAACAACAACAAAAACCAATCAACTAACCAACCAAACAAACAAACAAAACACTTTCAAACTCTGAATGAATCTTTAATCTGAAAAAGATTAAGAATTTCTTTGAACTCAGTATATTTTTTAATATGCTTATTTTTGAGATGAGTCTCATTCTGTAGCCCAGGTTGGCCTGAAACTTACTATGTAGCCAAGGGTGGCTTAGAACTTGCAGCAATTCACCTGTTTCAACTTTCCAAGCACTGGGATTACAAATGTGACTCACCATGCCCAGGTCTTAATCGATATCTTAATCATAAGTGGAAACACTGCTATTTCATACCACAGCCAGAATCAACAGTATGACCCAAGAGCCTTCAACTCAAGAAGGCTCTTCCCAAGACCAAATATCTTACCTTCAATAAAGAAGAAAGAATATTGTTGGGAAAAACAACAACAACAACAAAGCACCCCCCAAAAGAAAAGAAAAAAATTTAAAAAAGGGAGAAAAGGGCAGAACAGTAACATATACAGAAAAAAAAATTCATTCAAGATTGGTATAGAGCCAAGTGTGGTGGTTCACACTGTAGTCCTAACCATCTACTTAGGAGGCAGAAGATGAAGGATTTGGTAAGTTCCAGGCCAGCCTGGGCTACAGAGTGAAACACTGTTAAAAGAAAAAGGAAGGAAGGAAGGGAGGGAGGAAAGAGGGAAGGGAGGGAGGAAGGGAAATGGTATACATTATATAGTTGAAAGAAAGAAAGAAAGAAAGAAAGAAGGAAAGGAAGAAAGAAAGGAGGAAAGAAGAAAGATAAAAGAAAATGAAAGAAAAACTATTCCCTCTCAGAAAATGTCAAGTAAAGTATTTGTATAGTAAACTTTAATTTTAAAAACTAGCATCTATAATTTCCAGATCTTTTACCTTGTAGAGATCAAATGACTAGACACAGTTGGGAATGAGAATGACTCTCCGATTCTCCTCCAAGATAATTCAATACGTTTGAGTGACCATGGAGCTTAACAGGTGGCGTTAACAGATGCGGAAGTAAAGTAATCCACCAGGGCTCTGTTGAGAGCACACGTCCACATGTGTTGTCTCCCATCAATGCCTAGGCACATGCAGCAGGTGCTCCCACATTTGACATAATTAACTCCATCCAGACCTATGATTGCCATACCTCCTCACTCTTTTCCCGACCTTTCCTATGTCACTGCTGACATAGGCCCCCTCCTCAGGGATCTGGCTCAGCACACAGACACGGGATCAAAGCACCACTTTTGAATTTCAGTCTTACTGGGTTAGAATTCAAACAAGCCTTTCTGTCATCTATCTATCTATCATCTATCTATCTATCTATCTATCTATCTATCTATCTATCTATCTATCTATCTATCTATATCTGTCTGTCTCTTTACCTATTATATATCTAATGTCCATGTACCTGATATCATTCACATTATATTCTCTATACCTCTCTCTAGACAGCTTTCCTCTGTATCTAGCTAACGTTCAAACTGATATATGATTGCTCAGATGAAAACCACCTAATTCAGGCTGGGTATGGTGGACTACAGTCCCCTCTCAAAGGCCTGCAGTCCCCGGCATTTGAGAGGTAGAGGCAGAAGAATCAGGAGTCCCAGGCCAACCAAGGCTACATGAGACTCTGTCACAAACAAACAAATGAATAATGACAACAAAAACCCACCCAGTTTTTACCACCCCTTTCACATACTGCAGAGCATGGTCTCGGAAATCTGCCTTTCAGCCAGGAAGCGTCTCTACTCCTCTGTACTTCCCAAGGCCCCTCAAGGGCACTGAGGCAGTGAATGAGTGGTTTTGTTACATAAGCATTTAAACACTAGCTCTGCCACTCAGCATATATGCAATCTTGAGAAAACAATGTAAATTTTCTAGATGATAATTTCCTTATTTCTTTTTTGAGACAGGTTTTAAACTCACTATGCAACAGAGGGTGACCTTGAACCCCTAATCTTCCTGCTTGTACTCTGCTTCATTTGTATGCTGCTGGGGATCAGACTGAGGACCTCGTCCATGCTAGGTAAGCACTCTACCAACAGAGCTACACCACAACCCCTAATTTCCCTTTTCAAAAATGAGGGTACTAATATCTATTGATTTAATGGGAAGCATAAGTACTTGAGGTAATGTATAACAGTGGGTACTTCAGGGTGGAACTCAATAATGGATAGTTACCACCAGGGATGGTGGCCCATGGCTGCAATTTGGAAGGCTGAAGCCAGGCTAGGCTACATAGGGGAGATGTTTCTCAAAGAAAGGCTAAAAAAATAAATAAAGTGTGTATGTGTTGGGGGTTGTGGTGGTTATGACCAAGGTAGCAATAATACAGAGGAAGGGGTAGATGATGGAGCCCTCTTCCCGAACACCTTCTAAAAATTTTTATTTCTTATCAAAGCCAGGCTGAACCTGACTGCAAGCCTTTCTCTGGGACATATTAAAAGTCAGGGTGCAGTAAAGATAACCAGCAATGCGGGGTGGGGCGTACATGGATGGTACTTAATGTTTGAGTTTCCTGTTCTGAGCCAACATACCTACATGTATCTCTCCCATTCCTGGGGAAAAGACATTTCATGGAAGTAAATGCAACCTGTTTAGGGAAGTCGAGGACACTAGTTTCTTTTCCACTTAGCAGGAAGACTTTGCTTCACAGAGTAGGGTCAACAAACCTTGAGTGCTTCATAGAACTAATACTGAGTTCCCAGTAAGGCAGTGGTTCTCAAGAATTTTGTTTCCTCTGGCAATTCTAATAACTGAAACACACTATGGATCAAGAACAAACACCCATATTCTTTGTAGAGTCAGTCAGAGTTCACAGTCAAGTCCAATAGAGCTATAGTTTGAACTGTCCAAAGTACAAGGAAGAAGGAAGCCCAGCCTACCGGGACATGCCCTGAATGACAGGGTCATTTAGGACCTGCCTGAGATGCCATTCTGTTTGCAACCATGAACTACCTGCCATATCACTCAGCAAAATAATTCCATCGAGGAGCTGGAAGGCAAATGACTCATGTTAAAAGTGTCCCATGCATCGTTTTGGAGATGACTCCATAGGCACCAATTAAAACATGGAAAAGACATGTTCTAAAGCATGGCCATCTGGCATTTCCCAAGGAACTGTAGTTAAGGGCCAGTAAAACAGAAGAGATGGTTGTAACTGTAACAAAATTTCGCAACCTTTCCCTTGTTCAGCAGCAGTGAGGGCCCATGAGGACAACGATCCTGGAAGAGCTCCAAAGGAAGAGTGAGAAAGGCAAAACCTGCATCCAAAGCCAGCATCCCTCTTCCCCATGCATAGAAAGCAGACGGAAGTGGCATGAGGTCATCTTTTAATGCAGGAAAAAAAGTAGATAGGTTCAGGGAATGTTTTCGAGTTTGTCTGATAGTCTAAAGGTGAACTTTAATTGCTACGTGTCCAAGAAAGAGAAAGAACCAGCCCACCCCTTGCTCCTTGAGTGCTTTCTAAGTACCAGTATCACGGGACTTTGCTCACCTCACCAAGCCAAGCTCAGTGTGGTCTAAACATCCTTCCCCAGACAACCATGCTTTAACAACCCTTTTGGCAGAAAGATGAACTGATTGCAGGAGAGTGATGTCAAGCTTTAAAGCCTGGGGATGCAGCAGGAGCAGGGGTACTTTTCAAGGCTACAGTTCTAGATCAGCCAGGCAGACACCTGTGTATATATAGACAAAGCTTCAAACACCATCACTTCATCACACCTAATGACTGCCTGTGAGGACAGCTTGCCGCCTCTATTCCTGGATTTTCCAACAACAAAACTATGTGCCTCCATATCCAGCCCAGAGTCTGAACCAATTTTCTAATAGTTATCTAATTTTTTTTCCACACAAGGTCAGATAAACGAGAAAAGAAATATTTTTCAGCTTTAATTTTGATCCAAAGCTAAGATTGTTAACGACTTTTTATCCATTATCCTTGATCTCTCCCCCTTTTCCTTAAATGATTCAAGTCAGTGAGCCCTTCACATACCCGGAGCTCAATATTAAGAAGGTTAACAATCTTAGGTTGAGGCTGTAAGGCATAAACAAAATAAAAACAAGAAAACAACAGTGCAGTGATTCCATTCTTCCAACTGTTCCCTTTGCCAGCGATGCAGTCTGCCTGACTCTCTTTCAAGCAGCTATCTTCCTGTTAAGTTTTTTATTTGGAAATAAAAGAGATCACCGACAATTAATTTTTTTTTTCAACACAACAGAAAACAACCCAGCCCATTAACAAACACTAAAATGGCAGAATTAAACACAGTGTGAACAAGTAGTTATAGACGAATACCTGGGATTGCCAGATTGGAAAGGGGGACGTGGTGGAGGTGAGGGGGGAGCGAGGCCATCCAGTCAGCATTGCAGACCTCCGAGGCTGCCTTTGTCCCGCTGGGATTGGGAGAGCAGATGGTGCCCATCCTGAGTTTCCTCCTGGCCTTTCTAAATGCTAGCATCCCTCTGGTCCACGATTTAGACAGGCTCAGCCCAGTGCCACTCACTCTGTGATCATCACCGCTCGGGGCTCTCTAGACATTTCAAAGCACATGGGTCACGCCAGCCTTTTCAAGACGCTTTTTTTTCTGGCTGGGAGATGGGTTAACTAGGTGCTTCCCTACCCGCTGTGCCCGCAGTCCCCACCCTCTCCGCCTCGCTTCTGAGATCCACTCCCTTAATCTCCTCAGTGTCCCTGCTCAGTTAAACTTCTTAGTTTCCCTCTGGAGACGGGGGAGGCAGGCCCGAAGGTACAAACCTCACTGACACCCACAGCATCCAGGAACAGCCACACCCGCAGCTACTCACACGACAGGTGCCCACAGGGTATAGAGACATGCAGCGGGCTGCACACACGTGCGCGCCCGGGTTGCACCATCTCTAGTTCATGGGTGCTCCCGTGGGTGTCCCTGGGCTAGTACCCAGGCTGGGCCTGCCTGCCACCCGCCCCCACCCGGCTTGTCTGCCCCCTGCCCTGTGCTCTCCTGAAAGGCTCTCCGAAGTGTAACCGGCGGCCCCGGGACTCTGGCGGCCCCGCCCCGCACTGCCGGGCAGATTTGCCAGGCTAGGCGAGCTATGATTGGCCGCTGGCGGAGTCCGTTCTGATTGGCCGACGCCCCGGGGGCCCGCCCCTGCCTCCCTCTCCCACGCCTCCCCTGCCTCTTAGCTCCTCCCTTCTCCACTCGGACTCTGCCGGTGCACAGACCGCGCTGAGGCCTGCTGCTCCCAAAGGGGAAATGTGCACCGTGCCGGCTGTCTTCAGATTGATTTTTTCCACCTAGATCTTCAACGCGACCACAAAATAGCTCTCCCCCTTTCCTCCGCCTTGCACTCACTGTGGTGAAAATTACCCAGAGAGCACTACATTTTCCGCAAACCACGGAAGCAGCCAGAACAGAAGAGCTAGAGAGGCCGAGGGAGGTGCTGCGGCTCATATTTGGAGGGGAACTATCCAAGGATGGTTTGTGTTTGAAACCTTGCAAACTGACAGTTCCCCTACCCAGCCCTCCGCAGCCGGTCGGTGTCATTATTCCCACTTTACAGAGGAGGAAATGAATGGTGCTTTACGTTCGTATTGCTGTTGTTTGGAACCTGCTTTTGAATTATTTGGCCCACCTGCTCTTCACAGTATTACCACAATGCTGAAAGGGTTGCTGATACACTTCCTTTTAATGGATGAAACAAGCCAGAGGCAGGTCACATGGGGCAGCCTTTGCAAACCTCATTTTGAAAATGAGGTTCCCTAACCTGGTCTCTAGAACACCAGACCCCTTTCTCTGCTGCTGAAATGTTCCCACTTCAAACAGTACTTAAATGTAGTACTGAATTTTATGACCTGATATGTTTGCTTAGAATTTTGATTACATTTATATATTTCTTATATGAGTTTATCTGTGAGCATGCACATATGGAGTTCAGAAGACAATGCTCCAGTTCATTGTTTCCACGAAGTGGATCCCAGGGATCAGGTCGTTAAAAAAAAAGTATATATATATCATAGTGGTATTTTGGCAAACAGGCAAATTTATTTTAAAATGAGGTGGCCTTTATGGCAGGAAGAAGCTAGAGACTCAGGAGTGCCCCAGAGGAAAAGAAAACAGTGGCCAGGACCCACACAAGCAGAATACCAGAGGCTCCTGTCCAGAACCCTAGGCCAGATGTCATTTAATCACCAACTTATCTCTGTACCCCAGGCCACCTTTCCATAGCCATGGTTCCTGATGCACCGCGATGCCTTTTGACATACATTTCTTCTTCTCGGCGATTCTTAACATTCACTTAAACTAGCTTCACTGCATACAGTTACTAAAGTCTCCACTGAGTGTTGTTTGACGGCTCATTAAAAGAAAGTATATGCCGGGCGGTGGTGGCGCACGCCTTTAATCCCAGCACTCGGGAGGCAGAGGCAGGCGGATCTCTGTGAGTTCGAGGCCAGCCTGGGCTACCAAGTGAGTTCCAGGAAAGGCGCAAAGCTACACAGAGAAACCCTGTCTCGAAAAACCAAAAAAAAAAAAAAAAAAAAAAAAAAAAGAAAGTATATAATGTTTATCTTGTATCTTCTGGTGTTTAAAGGGCATCGCAGTCTATATGGTTCTTTTAACGACACCACAGGATCTCAGCAATATGTCACCTAGCTGTTAGACTCAACAAAATCTCCCCACGAGACAAGAAGTCCTTCAGTGGAGCCGTATCTCAAGTTTGCTTTGGAAATTCCACCTTTCTGGTCTTCCTTTGATTACATATGTATGTATTTAATTCCCAGACAAGAACGGTTTTCTGGAAGCTAAGCCAAACCAAAGGTGTTCTTGTAGCTCAGCTCTGAAATACTCCCTCTTCTCCTGTAGATTTTCTTGTTAATGAAGTGGCAATAGGAACAAGAGTTGAGGAGTTCTGTTCAGAAACCCTCCTTACGGGAAGCAGGGGCCTTTGACTCACACTGCAGAAAGTAACTTCAGTCTAGGTCTTCATGAAGCAAAGCTGGAATTGAATGAGATTGGAATAGGACTGGTATATAGCTCAGCTGGAAGAGTGCTTGCCTGGCATGGACAAGGTGGTGGGTTCCAACCCCAGAACCACAGAAGCCAAGCACGGTGGTGCAAGTCTTTGATCCCAGCCCTCCAGAGGAGGAAGCACAATGACCAGAAGTTCATAGGTACATAGTGATTTTTGAGAATAACCTGGGCCACATGATAAGTCCGGGCATGGTGGCTCATACCTGTAATCCCAGCACTTGGGAGACTGGGAAAAGAGGATAACAAATTTGAATCCAGTCTAGTCTACTTTAAGTAAGACACTATGTCAATAAAAACCAAAACAAAGAAAGTGAAAAGGAAAGAGATGAAGATATTTAGGGGAAAAAAAGCAGTTGTATGTCCCCAAAAGTGAGTGTGGATTTCTTAAGAAAAAAGGTCATACGTAAGTGCCCCCTCTTTGAGACAAGGACCCCATTATGTAGCCCAGGCTAGCCTCCAACTTCTGGCACTCTTCCTGCCTCAGTCTCCTGAGTGCTGGAATCAATAAATGAGCCAGCACAGCCACTGACTTTGGGTGGCTTTTGAAGTTATTCTACTCAAAAGGTTTAAAAAATCAAGCAAAATTGGTTTGGTATTTGTCTTAGTTGGGGTTACTATTGCTGTGAAGAAACACCATGAACCAAACAAAAAGCAAGTTGGGAGGAAAGGGTTTATTTGGCTTATACTCCCTCACTGTAGTCCATCACCAAAGGAAGTCAAGACAGGCTTAGAGGCCCAGACACAGCTTCTGTGACAGGCTTACTGGCAGGCAACACCCAGATCCAGGAAAAGCCTTAAGCTGATACCACCACCTAGGGATCTACCCAGGGGTAAGGAAGTCCCTGACATCCCAAACACTCCAACCATTAGATAAGGTGGCCAGATGTCCTTGAGTCTATAGTAAACACCTATTTTTTGTTTTACAGATACCCCTAGACAATTGTCAGCCAATCAGGGTCCTGGACCCTGGAAATCCCCTCACCCCAACCTCTGCTATGATTAAAAACTCTGCCCCACCTGAGCTCAGGGCTCTCTGCTCTCACCACTGTGTCAGACAGACAGAGGGGCCAAGCTCTGGAGTTTGAAATAAAGGCTCTTTGCTTTTACATGGGGGGGGGGAGACAGGAACTCAAGCAGGGCTGGAACCTGGAGGCAGGAGCTGATGCAGAGGCCATGGAGGGGTGCAGCTCATTGGCTTGCTCCCCATGGCTTACTCAGCCTGTTTTCTTTTTTTTTGGGGGGGGGGGATTCCAAAGATTTTAATAATTCACCACATAAGCGGGCCACTGATGGACCAGGGCTACAGGACAAGGACTTCTCAGGAGCCTTGTTTCTCCTGACAGCTCCCAGCAGGGGCAGAAGCTGGGTTTATAAGCACAAAAATCACAAACATTTGCTGACAAGTTACAATTACAATTTTCACCAGTCAGGATTTAGAGATCAGGGGCTTCCTTGAGGGTCCGTCATTGTCAACCGACATACAATGCAAGCCTTTCTGTCCAACCAATCAGATTTACTTGTTCTTTCTGTTGTTAGGAACAACCTAAAGAACTAAAGATGCACAATGACTATTTATATGGTTTAAGGCCAGCTATTGGAAGGGTCCCAGCTCCCATAGGGCTTGGGAACCTGAACTTTGTTTCATCCTACAGGTAAAATGGAGTCTGAAGTCAAAATGGCAATACCTAGGCCAAGGTCCTTTTGCCTGCTTTCTTCACTGCCAAGTGAAATCCTATGTATTTAAGACTTACAAGTTTCTCCCCATGGTCTGGAGAGATGGCTCAGCAGTTAAGAGCACTGACTGTTCTTCCAGAGGACCTGGGATCAATTCCCAGCACCCACATGACAGCTCAGAACTGTCTGTAACTTCAGTTCCAGGGCACCTGACACCTATTCAGCCTGCTTTCTTATAGACCGTGGTGTTATGGAATATTATTTTAAGATGTGTTACATTTGTCTGTGATATGGAACATTTGTTTAACGGTGCAAAGATGTTTATGTTGCATTTGTTTAACTCTGTGAAGCTGTGTTACTGTGCTTGTCTAAAACACCTGATGGTCTAATAAAGAGCTGAACGGCCAATGGCAAGGCAGGAGAAAGGATAAGCAGGGTTGGCAGGCAGAGAGAATAAATAGAAGGAGAAATCTGAGAAGAGAAGAAAAAAAAAGAGCATGAGAACAAGGAGAGGAGGACTTGAGGGGCCAGCCACGCAGCCACAAAGCCAGACACAGAGTAAGAAGGAAAGAAAAAATATACAGAAATAGAGAAAGGAAAAAGCCCAGAGGAAAAAAGGTAGACAGGATAATTTAAGTTAAGGAAAGCTGGCAAGAAACAAGCAAAGCTAAGGCCGGGCATTCATAAGAAAGAACAAGTTTCTGTGTGTGATTGTTTGGGAGCTGGGTGGAGTCCTCCCCCCCCCCCAAAAAAAAATAATAAAAAGAGCAAAAACAACCCCACTGGACCACCAGCCCAGGGATGGCCTGCCCTCAATGGACTGGGCCCTCTCCCAAGAGTCACTAATTACGAAAATGTCCTACAGGCTTGCTAGCAGCCCAAGCCTATAGAGGCATTTTCTTCATTGAGGTCCCTTCCTCTCAAATGACATTAGCTTGTGCCAAGGTGACATGAAACTGTCTGGCCCAGGCATCCTTATTTTCACTTTTCTGCTCCCTTTGGTTTGATTGTTTTGCACGTGTACGTGAATTTGAACGTTTACGCACACAGCTGTGGATATAAGCGCAAGTGCTTGTGGAGGCCGGGAGTCAACCCCAGTGTCCTCTTTGATTGCTCCCCACTTCATTCATCGAGATGGGGGTCTCTTACTATACCTGACGCTCACCAAGTTCAGCCCCTGCCCTTGACAAACGCACTGTATGAGCTAAAATAATAGTGAAAAGCAGAGAGAGGAGATTTGTTCAATGTAGCGATATGCATTGGGAAGACGTACAGAGGGATCCAGTGACGACGTCCTAAGTCCA